ATAAAACAAAAATGCAATACAAATAACGAAATACGAGGTAATACATGACAAATGTGCAAGGATAAATGGGGGGAGGGGGGTGAAAAATTTGGAAATCGAAAACCATTACTCATAATAATTAATAAAATATGTTTTTAAAAATATGATGATACTGGAATTTCAGTTTAGAGGACAGAATGGTCAAAAATTATTCTAACTGAAAAACTAGAAGAGTATGTTGATTTAAAGAAAACAACTGTGTATTTGGACATTTGATCAAAATTATTCTATTCATTAATATACATGGAGTACGACAACATGTGTGTCAACTTGCCCTGGTCTCCTCTATTATGCACTGTATTTTCTAGAACACAAACATGTTTAGCATCGAGATAATAGTTTTATTAATATTTATAGTTTTTATTTTTATATTTTCCATTTATTTTATTTAAAATACTTTTGTGTTTTTGTCATTTGTATTCTTTTTTTAATGTGTATATAGTTTTTATTCATTTTTATTTCAGTTTTAATTTTTTTTAGTCCATAAAGTTATACTAAATATAAACTGAGATTTATTCATTCATTCATCGTTTACCCTTATGTCTTTAGATTTAGTTGTACAATAACCCTGGAACAGAACACAGGTCTGTTGCTTTTAAAGCGAGTTTGAAGCTTGTAAATTCTACCATTACGTTATCATTATATAATGTATACAATATTACGTACAGTATGTCCAATACTATAGAATGTATGTCCTTTGGGCATTTTGTACGGCAATTTTGTTTATAATAATAATCAGAAACAACCACTGCAATATGTTAGACAGTATATACTCCGTTTTTGTTGTGTTTAAGGTTGCAATGCATTGTAAAGCAGAAGGCAGATCGCTTTGCTGCATTGTTGTGATAGCGCGTGCGCGTCGTGTCATTCGTCCTATATTCACCTTGTTGTAAAGTCGGTATATTTTGACGTTCATGGTCTCGGTGAACAGCTCCCATCCTCCGTCGAGCTGCGGCTCGTCCAGCTCGGTCCAGGCCTGCTGGAGCTCCTCATCGCTGAAGAGCAGAGCCATGCTGCTGCGTCCACCAGTCATGTGACCGACAGCGGGCGCTGCTGACGTCAAAGCGCAGCTGACCGCGAACCACGTGCTCATGCGCTCATGCATGAAGCTACACTTCAATTAATTTGTATTATTTATATATATATATATAATTAATTAATTTACTTCGTATTTACTTTGTACATTTTTTTTTTATTTTTGTATTTTATTTAGAATTATATTTATATTTTTTAACATATTTAATATAATTTATTATTGTATAATTTATATATTTTATTACATTTCACTATAATTAATAATACTAAATATAATTTATTAATACATAATTTTGTATGTTGTATGTTGAGATAATGTGCAGTCAGCCATTTATAATCACAAAATAAACATTGACAGGGTCATCAAATGTATATTTGGTTATATATTATTAACCAACAAGAGAATTCATTTTTTTATATTTATTTTTATTTTATTTAGTAATTAATTTCCTTTGATTTTTTTTTTTTTTTTTTACACCTCAAATCTCTAGAAATGTAAAATCTGATCATTTAGGCCAAAGTGCCCCTTGTGGCAATGCTGAGAATACAATGCATACTTGACAAAATATCCATAATAAAATTCAACAAATTCTTGTCACTTAATTTCTGGCTAGCAACAAATTAAAACAATACAAACCCAAGCAAAGGGTTCTTAGTAGAAAAGAGGTGCTGCTAAGTTTTCATGTGTGTTTTCAAGGGGTTTCCAAAAGTGTTCAGGCCCAAAGACTCATACCACAGTAAATATAGATGTACAACTGCACTTCGGACTCAAGGCAAGGTCGTCCCTCTCTGTC